TATCTATCTATCTATCTATCTATCTATCTATCTATCTATCTATCTATCTATCATATATCACGAAAAGATGGCATATTGCAAAGGATTCATGAAGAATTAATGTCCAGCTTCATCTTTATTTCCAAAGATCCAAAATTGCCTCTAGCCATTCTTCAACATCTCACATTTTCAGAGATATTTTATCATCCCCAAATAGGATTTCTAGTATGTTCTCAGTTACATAGGTATTTTATAGATCCTGATGTTTTAGTTCCTATAGTTATCCATAATTATAAGCAAACACTCTTCAGGTTTCCCCATTAAGCATCTGATTAATTTACAGTTTACAACAGCTGTGTGAGACAATAGTGATTTATTCAACATTACCTTTTTTAAACCTGACTTTTATTTCTGTCTTAATGTTCTGTACGTTTAACATAGTTTTAACCTGAAAGTTAAATGAATTTAATTGGTGAATTAATCAACTTCTTGTAGGGTCATTTATTACTCAAAGCCATCATATGTTCAGTTTGGTTTAAGCTTAATGTGTTGCATAAACAAGCCAATTGTGGCTTATTCAGTATGTCATTGTTAAAGTCACCTGTTTTAGTGAGATGTGTATGCCCAGATTCAGTAAGTTTCCAGCCTCAATCATTGTGCAATGGGTTTTAAGTGAGTACATTTTAAGTATCTTTCATTTCAGCTATTATTGCAACTGATTATTGTTATTACTTTTACTCTGTTTTTAACATTTATAAACCACCTAGATTCCCTCCAAACTGAAATGGGGGAAAATCCCATAAATAAATTATAAAAATTTGATTTTCCACAGAAGCCAGACTGGGAAGATAAAGTTCTCTTGGAAAATTATGCAGATAAAAAGGTTATGTTCCCCATCTGCCAACACCACTTCTTAAATTGGCTCTTTACAAGTAAAACAAATAAACATTATGACCTCCCAGGTCACAGCTTGGCTGGTCCTCAGTTCTTGCAATAGCCAATGCTTAGGGATCATGCATTTCTTCCTTACAGACCCATAAATACCATGAAATATCGTAATCAGTTATTTTAATTAGTTAATTATTTAACTGGTTGTGTTTCTATCCTAGCATTGTGATTCCCAAATTTCTCATATTTAGTAAGTTTAAAGCTATTGGTAGAATTCAAGTTTTAAAAGACCTAATTTGATATACCTGCCGTAGAACACGAGATGTGCTGGTGAGTGTGTCATGATGCTCTGCAATAGCCCTTTGCGAAGCCAGTGAGATCTCAGGGTTAGGGAAATCAACAAGAGGATACACCTGAAACATAAAAAGAACTTCAAAAACTATTGGTTCTATTCCTGTGAGATGATGATGATGATGATGATGATGATGATGATGATGATGATGATGATATTATTTCCCTTCTCTCCTTTCTGATCATGTGCGCCCATCCATTCTTTTTATTAGCACACTAGGTACATGAGTTGAAATAATGGAATTGCTCCAGGCATTGTACATAATACGTTGTCAAGCATGATGAAATCAGAACAAACATGCTGTTATTACAATCTCTTTCTCCTCCCAAGTTCACCCATCACTGTTACCAGTTTCAGGAAAATTGCTCAGTCCCTAAAGGTACAAAAGCAGAATATTAGGAGCTGCAGAGTTTAAGTGAGTCTGCCTATTCCAATACCTTAAAATGAGAATTATCTCAATATAAGTAATATGCATATGATGAATATGAAACTGCAGGACATGGTGCATTTATTTTGTAATTCTAGAATTGTTAACCCCAACAAGAACAATTCTGAGTCATCATCAATACCTCTTGAAGCACAAATGTAGAAATTGTAAGTGCATCTTGTTTCTGGTGCTTATGTCTTAATACATAATATTATCATTATATTTTTTTTAGATTTAGCTGTAGTGGCAAATAGAACAGACATATCAATTTAACAAATTAGAAGACAGCATTCTCCAAATGTTGATGACATGCCAAGCTACAAGTATAACCAAGACCAAATATACTAGATACTAAACCAAGACTTAGGAAGATATTTGAGTCTTGCTACAAAAAGCAAAAGCAAATAGCACAAGTAGTCCAGTTATCCAATGTGTTGCCTTTCCATTGGGTGTTATTATAGCTCCAAAAACTAGAGGTTGGAAGGACCATTCTAGTAATTAGTGGCCAATATATGAATCCAGTCTAAATATATAGTTGAAATCTCAATGAATGCCCAACTACATTTCTTAACATATTAATGTTAGATGAAGTTACATGAAGTAATGAATGAATTATAGCATTAAATAATTTAGTTGTTCCCAGTTACTTTTTTTTTTTTTTTTTTTTTTACTGCTACTGCTGGTGATGGTGGTGGTGGTGGTGGTGATGATTGGAAAGACAATAAGGATTTGGAGGCATCATTTGCAGATACCAGGAACCTTGCCTTAAGGAAATATTATTATACTCACCAGAGTATTTTCATCTTTAAGTATATTTTCACCCATAGCTTTAGTGAGCAGTTCTCTTGGAAAGCTTAGTTGGTGTTCAGAAGTGAACTCATATACATTGTTTTTCCTGCAAGGTAAAAAGGATTAGAAAGACAGAGAGATGATAGACAGGCAGGCAGGCAGGCAGGCAGATCTAATACAGGGTTTCCCAAACTATGAGGTGTACCTCCCTTGGGGTGATACAGACAGAGTCCAGAAGAAGTATGAAGAACCTTTTAGTTACATTGTTACAATAAACCCACCTTTCCCAATGTTTTATTGTATTGCTTTCATTGTTCATTTGTGTTCATTTTGGTGTTTGGATTTTTAGGGCAGGTGTACATGAAGATTACAGTAAAGGGAGGTGTGATGGCAAAAAAATTAGGAACCCCTGATCTAAGATCATACATATACAGAAAGGACCAGTTGGGTGAAGTGGTTAAGGCACCAGGCTAGAAACTGGGAGAGTGTGAATTTTAGTCCCACCTTAGGTACAAGGCCGGCTAGGTGATCTTGGACCAGTCACTCTCTCTCAGCCTAGAAAGAAGGCAGTGTCAAGCCTCTTCCAAAAATGTTGGCAAGAAAACTGCAGGGACTGCAGCTGTCAGAAGTCAAGACTGACTCGAAGGCAGAAAATAAATACATAAATATAGACATACACACACACAAAAGTATATAGACGTATGGCTCTGTGACTAAAAATATATGAATGAGATACTTTTCTGAAGGACAGGTACAAAGCATTATTTAATTAGCAGGCAAACTTAAGTAAGGTCTAAATGAGAATTTTTGGATTTGTTTGGGAAAATTTGCTCTAAACCCATTGGAATTCAGAATATAACAAAGAAAAACTGGCTATACTATGAATAATATATTAATTACAGAAAAAGTCTGTAAAGAATAAAAAAAACCCTTAACATTCTTATATTGTCAGTGAAGATCTTTTTGCTCCTTGTTTTAGAAGTTACAATTTCAGTATTGTTTTACAACTCAATTTTCTGCATTCTTACTCCAAATGAAGCCCTAAGAAACCATTCTGTGTCGGTCACATTTAGAATTGAAGCCTAAATGTTTTAAGGTACTACTCACCTCTGTTATGGGAACCCTCCATGAATAGTAAACAAAATGTCCATTGATTTAATAATTTGTTTTTGTTGACTGTTAGGGAAAGTTTTCTTTAGTTATACCTTGATGGAAGAGCTAGAATAGCATTTCTAATACCTTTTCCCCAACCTGTTGCTCACCAAGTATATTGTAACTGCAACCCCCAGAATTCTCAAAAGTGTTGAAGGAGTTATACCCTTCATCAGGAGGGTAGCAGCCTGGGAAAGACTGGCTTAAAATATGTCACTAGGTAATCCAACAAATCTATCATCATGTTACTGTAAATCCTTGGTGGCTTCCACCAATAGCTGCAACCAAAGATACAATCCCAAGACCAAATATAAAAATCTTTGCTGCTCGTCATGCTAATTTACTGCTATAGCTATCAACCTTTCATTATTCTGGCAAATCAACCATGGGTTAAGTGATGTTGTAATAAGGGAAAAGCCACTGAACTAGCCTCTCCTCTGAGGTCCTTTGGTTCTCAGGTCACCCACATCTGTAGGTGAATAGTTACTGAAAAATTAGGTCTCTTTGCAGCCACCACCCCTTCACTATAAACTGGTTTCTCCCTTCCACACCAGCCCTCTGAGAAACAAGAAGAGGACTGAAGTGGAAATCCCTGGGTCTGGCTAAATACAGAGGGGGGAGAAACTTTGGGAGTCTGTAGCTCCGCCAAGCCGAGACAGGTGATAGAAGGCCAATTCCAGGACTTAAATGAAAATCAACGTTATTAAAGGTACCAGAAGACATTAGGGTTCTACACACAAAACACAGTTTAAAATGGTAAAATACAAAAACGTATGTATTAATGGTTTGCTGTGTGTTAAATGGATAACTGGAAAGGGAGCAAACTAATCAGTACATGAGAGAGAGAAGATAAGAGGAGAGCTGCATGGCAATGAAGAGAGAGGTCAGCTAAGTTAGGCTAGTTCATAAGAAAAGCCACAGTCAAAATGAGATTCAGAGGAACCAAAAATGATGAATGTGGATTTAAAAGTGAAAGAAAGAATCATTCAAAGGCCAAGTTCTTTGTTTGCTACCAAGATAGAAGGGCCCTTTCTGTGTAAATGCCATCAGTGTAAGTTATTTTGCTGTCTGAACAACAGCTTTTTTTTTTCCTGTTAAAAATAAGATGGAAGGAGTGGTTGGAAAATATGCAGAATTTACAGGTGAAAGGTGAAATTGTCTTGAAACCTATAGGGGGAGGGGGGAGGGAGAGAGAGAGAGATGGCAAAAGGCTCATTTGAAAACAAATGATTGCTTCCTGATATTCTCATTTAATTTTGGAAATACAAACCAATCCTACCTGAATGCTTCTGAATACAAAATATCGTAGTTATTAGCCTGCTAAAGAACTGACAGGGAAGTATGGCAGAAATGTCATTTTGAATAAAGGCAACGGTCTTCTTGTCAGAAATCATGCCCTTTATTACAATTAAGTGTTTGTCACATACTGTTTTAGTCAAGTGACAAAGGCTTTATTTCTCAATAAGTCTAAAAACAAAGTGTATCCTAGAGCTAAACC